AAAGGGCAGTGGTGGGATTGACTTGGGCCATCCTGGCTCAGGGGTCTACCCTCACAGGTGAGGCCTCTCCTTTCCCCCAGAAACAGGGTTCCCTGGGATCTGCACATTGCATCACAGATCCCAGCAGGAGGGGCAGCCCCTCAAGGGTATGGTCTCAGGGCCACCCACCTTGGCAGCCCACAGTAACTTAGCCCTGGGGAAGCAGCCTTTTGAGCCAGTGTCCTGGGCGGCTTCATACAAAGACAGGCCTCAGGGGGTACATCTGGTTCCAGGTCTGGTCATGGCCAGCCTCCCCTGGGGAGGACGGCTGAGCGTTGCCAGAGTCAAACGCCTTCACTGCTGGCCCAGGCCTAGTCCGTGGCCCCTTGCTTCTGCTCAAAGATGCCTTATATCTCCTGCAAAGGCCTAGGTACTCCTTGAAAGCTAGATTGACAAGTTCAAGAACCTCCAGAATCCCACCTAGCTCCATTCAAAGGAGACCCCCCCCACCCATCACCCCCATAGCCCTTGTTCCCACAGGCTGGTGGGAGCCATGTGGAGAACAAGCCTAGAGACACACAGGTGAGAATGTGGGTTCTGGCCTGGTTCACAGAGCTTCAGTAGAGCCCCCTGTCCTGCAGCTGTAGGGGACTTCCTGTTTAGGTACCATCCCAATGGCATGACAGGCTGGATTGTGAATCAGGAGACCCAAGTTCTAAATTTAGTACTCATATCATCAACCAGTTGTGTGACCTAAGGCAAGTCACTCATTCTCTCTGAGTCTCAATTGCCCCCTCCAAAAAATGAGAAGCCTGGAGCAAATATTCTTTAAGGTCTCTTCCAGCTCAGGCATGCTCTTGTAGCATAATGCCAGTACACAGTATGTGTTCAGGAAATGTTTATCTAGTTATTTAACTAGATTTAAGGCAGGATTCTGTATGTCTCTGCACCCAGTTACTTTCTTACTATGCTTTTTGCCTCTGCTGTTAGCTGATTTGGGTCAAGTGCCAGCTTAGGGCTTGGGACACAATAGGTATAAGTTGAGTCTATATATGCGGTATGTTTACAGTAGCCCAGAGGCTGAAGACAAAACAGAATCTGACTGTGAGCAGTAAGAGTTGGTCCCAGGATGTCAGGGTGGGCTATGTGGTCCTTCTTGTTACAAGTCACCTCATTGCATTGGGGCTCAGAGCAACTATCAAGTGTCACTACTTGTTCCCTAAACAATCTAGTCTTTGGCTCACAGTGCTCCTTCTGCCTGGGACACCTGTCAGGACTTATTTACCCAATTTATAAGCTAATAAGCTAATCTGCTGTTGTTTCTGGCAGAAGACATAGCATTCCTGGGTCAGAGACAAAGGATTGACCACTGTTGGCACAGCAAGCAACATTAGCCCTGTTGTTACACATCTTTCTCTGGTTTTCAAGTTTCACAGGGGCACCACTTAGGGACCCAGGTGGACGTTACACACGCAACAGGTTTGTGTCATAGCTGAGGAGCACTGAGCTTGGAAAACCCACCACAGTCCCCTCCTACCTCACCACTTTTATCATAAGCAATAAGCAAGTCTGCTCTGTGTCTGGGAGAGGATGTTCCTTCATCCCTCGAAGTTCCTGGCTGCAAACACAGCACTGAGAAATGGCGGGGGTGGGGTGGGGTGGGGGTGGGAAACAGCGCTCACGGCCTTGCATTCTCGGCACACACGCCTGGTGATAACACTCAGGGAGGCTCAGGACCTGCCTGATGGGGAACTGCCTCGCCAAGACACCTACCCTCCACCTGTTTGTTAAAATCCCATCCATCCTCAAATGACACTGTTTTTGAATCTTTCTCCAGCCCTCCCATCACCAACACTTTCCCTTTTGTATTTTCCTTATAATTCTTGTCTATGCCTCTTTTTTGTGTCCACAACTGTCCCTCTCCTACAACAGAGTGCAAACACTTGGAGGGCAAGCCTTGGTCCTCTTCATTCCTGTATTCCACACCCAGCTTGTCTGTATCCATTGGGTGCTTAGACCGTATTTGTTGAGTTGGAGGTATCTAGATATTGGCCCATGGTTATGCTTCTGCAAAGTCTGATGGACTGCCTTTTGGAATATTTTCATCATTCCAGAGGCTAAAAATAACCTCCTCAAAGCTGTCAAGGGTGTTTCCTTGTAAGGAGTAGAATTTGCCTTGTGAAGCCCAAAGTTTCTGTCCACCAGGTGGCGCCCCATCCCCAACTCTCCAGATGCCTTTTTTAGAGGGAAGGGATTCTCTTGTCTGCCTCTAAATGTTTGTTGGCTTAGGTCCCCCACTTACAGAGATAGTTTGTGTGGCGTAATTCTCTGTCATCGGTCCAGCACAAAGATTCAGCTTTCAGCTGCGCATTCTAGTCCCAGCCCCACTCAAGACTAGCACCCTGAGACACTGAAGGATGTCTCTCCAAGGGTTGCTTAGGGATGTTGAGGGAAAAGACCCGAAATTGGGACTAGAAGACCTAGGTTTGAGTCCCCACACTGACATGTAGTAGCTGTGTTTCTCTGGGAAAGTCCTGTAACCTTTCTGGGTCCCTGTGAGAGTAGCTGAGAATTAAATATGAGAAACTATATAAAAGCATACTGAATGTGGACATGGGGTCAGCTGCACCTGGGCTGCTGTTTAAACTGTCACCCATTAGTTCTGTGACTATGGTCCTCTTCCTTCTCTCTCTAAGCTTTGGTTGCCCCATCAGTGAATCAGAGTTAATACCAGTTATTTTATAAAATATGTTTATTTGGCTGCATTGGGTCTTAGATGCGGCACGTGGGATCTTCGACCTTTGTTGCAGCAGGTAGGAGCTGTGATTGAGACATGCTAACTCTTAGTTGTGATGTGAAGGATTTAATTCTCTGACCGGGAATTGAACCTGGGCCCCCTGCATTGGGTGCTAGCAGTTTTAGCCCCTGGACCACCAGGGAAGTCCCAATACCAGTTATTTAAAGAGTTGGTATAAGGATTAGGGAGCACAATAAATATGAAGTGCTCACAATAATGCTTAGTGTATAGTAAGCATTCAAGTCATAACAATCACATATATATTATGTATCCCTAACCCCTCAAATAGTGCTGAGCATTACTAAGTGCTAATACCCATCTGCTGAATAAAAGGATTTCACAGATGAGGAAACTGAGGCACAAAGAGGTTAAATCACACACATATACACACACACCATGTTCCAGCACTAGGGAGTGGCCGGGCAGTGAGAAGTAGCCAGGCAGTCTGCCTCTCAGGCTTGCATCCTGAGGGTCTATGCCATGCTGTCTTACAAAAATGTGAGTAGTACACACCAACATTTTTTAATTTAAAATATACATTCGGAGTTTTCTCAGGTACCTGTAGGTGGGGCTGAGTTGGCAGTGGGAGACATTAGCTCCCTGAAAACCATGTAGTTTTTCTCCCTCAAGGGGAGCCAGGGACCAGCAATCTCATCCCATGACTGAGGTGAGGGACAAGCTCTGCAGGGTAGGATAAGCTGGAGGTCTTATCCATGCACACTTCCCAGGACAACAGGTGTCTTCTTACTTCCACTTCTGTGTTTGCAGCCACCCAGTCATCCACTCCATGGATTTACTGAATCTCCTATGTGCCAGGCACAGGCAAAGATGGGTAAGATGTAGCTGACTTAAACTATGCAGAGGGACCCTCCAAGGGGGTGCCTGGAAGAGCCAACAAACCAAAAGAGGAACATTTAAACTGGGCATTGAAGGTTAAGTAGGAGTTTGCCAGCCAAATGGGGTCTAGGGTTGAGGGGCTACTGATGCTGCTTAGTCACTCAGCCATGTCCCACTCTTTGCGACTTCATGGACTGCAGCCCACCAGGCTCCTCTGTCCATGGGGATTCTCCAGACAAGAATACTAGAGTGGGTTGCCATGCCCTCCTCCAGGGGATCTTCCCAACCCAGGTCTTCTGCATTGCAGGTAGATTCTTTACCGCCTGAGCCATCAGGGAAGCCCAAGAATACTGGAGTGGGTCGCTTGTCCCTTCTCCAGGGGATCTCCCTGACCCAGGAATTAAACTGGGGTCTCCTGCATTGCACGTGGATTCTTTACCAGCTGAGTTACCAGGGAAGCCTGGGATTGAAGGGCATTCTGAGCCTATTTGGGAACTTTAAGAAGTTTGGTGGGGTTGGCATACTGAATGTGAGCATGGGTAAGAAAAGGGAGAGGGAAACCAGGAAACTGGGAGCCCGTTGGGGCCAGATTGTGAAACATGCCCATAGCAGAGATAGAACCCTATATCCTGTGGTCAGCGGGAAGCAGTGTATATACACAACCAGGTCTGTATTTTAGAAAGACGCTACAGTACATGAAGGTTAGTTCAGACGAGGAGGGAAGAAAGACCAGCAGTAATTACCAGCTTCATAGTCTTAACCCCTCTAGGCTTCCTTTTTCTCCTCAACAAGATGAGAAAAATAATTGTATATATCTTATGTGCATGAGTGCTAAGTTGCTTCAGTCGTGTTTGACTCTGTGTCCCTAAGGACTGTAACCCACCAGGCTCCTCTGTTCATGGGATTCTCCAGGCAAGCATACTGGAGTGGGTTGCCATGCCCTCTTCCAGAGGATCTTCCCGACCTAGGGATGGAACCCACGCTTTTATGTCTCCTGCATTGGCAGGTGGGTTCTTTACTACCAGCGCCACCTGGGAAACCCTTGTATGTATCCCGGGGGATGTCAAATGAGACTCCATAAGTGAGAATTCCTGCAAAGCACCGTAATAGCGGTAATGTAAAGTATTGTTGGGCTTTGCTATCTCTCAGAGCTGGGTTTGTGTCTTGGTCGTGCTGGGAAGTCTACTTTTAATACGATTGATGGCAAAGAAGGCTGGAAGAGACTGGACTAACTGGACTTTGCTTTGTGGAGTGGGAAGCAAAGTGGGGGCCTGGAGTGGGTGATGGTCCCTTTCAATGACAGGACTCGGATGGCTGAGTCCAAGTCCGAGCCCAGCTTTAGAAAGAATAAGTTTGAGGTGGGCACTGGCAGGGTACGATACTCAGGATGTTCAGGTGAGAACAGGCGGCAGCTTAAGCCCAGCACTGCTCTGCTCCCTCGCCAAGGAAGGGCCGGGAGGCCCCAGCGGGCTGCAGGACAGGAGAGAGGAGAAAGAAAAGGGCCCAGCCTAAGGTTGGGGGCGGGAGCGGGGGGGACGCTCCAGTTCCAGAAGACAGCTCTCTGCTCCGAGGCTGGACCGGAGCCAGGGAGGCAGACAGGCAGGGCGGGCAGATGTGGTATAAACTTTTCCCAATCGGACGGAAAGGAAGACTTGCGTCCTGCTGGGGCTGCGGGTGCGCTCCGCCCTGCCCCGAGGAGAAAGGAATCAGAGTTGGGAGTTTGGCGACTGGTGGGCGAGGCCCAAAAAGAGAGAAGGCAGGAAGCCGGGAGGAGCGCAAGGGGGTGGAGACGAAGTGGGGGGAAGAGAGAGGGCGGGCAGGAGGGGTGGAGAGAGAGAGAGAGAAAGGGAGAAAGAGAGGGCTGCGGGGAGGAAGGGTGGGGAGAAGGGGAGAGGAAGAGAGGAGGACTCGGAGAGGAGCGAGGAGGCCGCAGAGGGCTCAGGGGCACGTCCGCCGGGCCATCCCCGCGAGCCAGACGTCGCCATTCCGTGGCGCGCGCGGCCCGCGGCGCGGTGAGCCTGCAGCGGGCCTTTCTGCGCGGCCCGCTGGGCGTGCTGCGGCTGCTGCAGCTGCTGGCGGGCGCCGCCTTCTGGATCACCATCGCCACCAGCCGGTACCAGGGCCCCGTGCACTTCGCGCTCTTCGTGTCCGTGCTCTTCTGGCTGCTGACCCTGGCCCTCTACTTCCTCACGCTGCTGGGCAAGCAGGAGCTGGTGCCGGTGCTGGGCTCGCGCTGGCTGGCGGTCAACGTGGCGCACGACCTGCTGGCGGCCGCGCTCTACGGCGCAGCGATGGGCATCATGATCGGGCAGACGCAGAGCCACAGCTACTGCAACCTCAAGGATTACCAGATGTCCTGCGCCTACCACGCCTTCCTGGCCGCAGCGGTCTGCGGCGGCCTCTGCCTCGGCCTCTACCTGCTCTCGGCGCTCTACGGAGGCTGCCGCCACTGCCAAGGCGAGCGGGAGGTGGCGTGAGGCCGCCCCGCCGCGGGGCTGGGCACCCGTCCTTCCAGCTGCCGCCGCCCCGCTCCCGGGAGCCCCGGCACCCTCCCTTCGCCCCGCGTTCCCGCCGCCTCCCGTACTCCGGAGCCCCGATCGCAGTTCCCGCCCCCAAGGCATCGCCGCGGCCCAGAGCCGGGACAGCTGCGCGGTCTCCTGGGACCCCATGGGCTACATCCGAGGAGGCGGACGCACACTTGCAGACGGGCCGCCCTGAGGCGAAGCCTCGCGGTTCCTCTTCGCCTTCCTGGCCGAGAGCAAGACGTGGACAGGCGCCGCGTAGATCCGGGCGAGGCTCCCGAAGTGGAATCTGTATACTGGCGGCGCCGCTGCCCCCTCCCTCCCGCCCCGCTTTGGGCAGAGCGCCCCCTTGCCCTCGCCCTCCTTACAGCCCCGAGTGCTGAAAAAGGCAGGCACGCCGCCGCGGGCGGAGCCGGGGACCGGCCTCCTCTGGTCTCAACTTGAGCGACGGGTGTGGTTTCAGTCTGGGATTGCGCGGGTATCCTGCGCAGCCCTTTGGGGCCATCCCTTGGTGGAGTCTTGGGGTGGGGCCCATCTGCAACGGTGAAGATGGATAGGAAGTGCCTGTGGGTTTTGTCCTTCTCTGCCAGTTCCGCCTTTGTCGTCGGGGTTCAAGGAGGTCAGGCCCTACCGCCCACTAGCTTCCCTGGCCTCACCTTCTCAGCCTTACTCTCACCGGCTTCTGTTCCGTCCCCACCTCCCTGTTATCTTTTTGCGTTAGGGGTACCACGTCACCGTCAAGGAATGTTAGGCGAGCCCCACCCTTTTTTGCTGACGGAAACTAAGATCGTGCCCTTGGGAACAGCCAGAAAAGATTAGAACCCCATCTTCCCACCCCAAGTCAGCGTCTTCTAGCAGTGTTTACTTTAAAGCCTTGGATGTTCCCAGGAATCCCAGTTCTGGAGCTAGTTAATGGATGGTTTCAAGGCCAACGGGGTTTGTCAAAGGTGCTTTCTCCCTTTTTTGGGAAGATTCACAATGCTCGTTAGCATATCAAAGGCTCTGAGAAGTCCCGCACTGAAGAGGCCCCTGAGTAATGTAATTTACAGTGTTAAGTGCCTCTGGACTGGGATCAGTTTTTCCCATCTTAGGTTCCAAGTAGTCCTGACTCTCACTTATCAGCAGGGGGCCCAGCCCGTTGGCTGTGGTCCGTTTGAAGAGGTGTGGCACTCCCTCTCTTCCCCAGGGAATTTCTACAGCAGAGAGAACCCACTACTCCCCGTGTAAAAGATGATAGTCAGTCACCCCTGCCAGGCCAATGGTAGCCTGGGGGACGGTGGATTGGAACATTCCTTTACGAAGGGAAACGCTTCCCACTCCAGTATTCTGGCCCGAAGAATTCCATAGTCCGCGGGGTCACAGAGTTGGACACTACTGAGTGACTTTCACTTTCACTTTACGTTTTTTTTGGGGAAATGACGCCAAGGTTATCCGGATGGTTTCCCGGTTTCCCAGTCAAAAGAAATATCACCCATGAGAGATGCTGACATTGACCATGAGCAACTGACAGCAGTGGGTCACACCAAACGGAGAGCACTCGATCTGGGATGAGCAGCTGGCCAGCTGTAAGGTAAGATGCTTCTTGGCTTTCTGGGGAGATCATAGACCTTTGAATAAAAAAGCTCGGAGACCCTTCCTTTTCTAAAAGCCAAAGGGTTTTTAGTCAGAGAGCAAGTTGAAGGGGTGTCAGTAATAACCACAATGTCCAGAGTTGTAACAATTCAACTTTTTTGCTAAATCCTCAGAAGTCAGCTCTTTGGAAAAAGTTTTGACCCTCTCTGGATTAGAAACTAGGATAGAGGAGGTCAGAATATGTTTTTGTGAGCATGTTTGTAAAGCTTAGGTGGAGATGTTTTAGTTTTCTCCGTCATAGTGATGAAGATCTAAGTGGGGATGTGGAGTGCTTTTGTAAGTTTTACAGAGTCACCACTTTGCATCTATCCAGCCCTACTGTCTGCCTGGCACTACCCAAAGGATTCAGTGTATTTATTTCATTCTCTCAATAACCCTCTTGAGCTGCGTTCTATTCTTATTTCCATATTCTGTATGAGGAATATGAATCTCAGAGAGGTTAAGTAACTTACCTAGAGTCTCCCAGCTGGTGAGTGGTAAAGCTCAGATTTGAACCCTGGCAGCCTGACCTTTTCAGAACCAGGCTGTATTATATTACAATAGGGTGTCAATACATATTAGATACTGTTAACATGGTTATCTTGATTTTTGATTTACTTATTTTTAAAAATTTTGACCAAGCCACATGGCTTGTAGGGTCTTTGTTCCCTGAACAAAGGTTGAACCTGTGCTGTGCCCTTGGCAGTGAAAGTGCTGAGTCTTAGCCATGGACTGCCAGGGAATTCCCCATGGTTATCTTGAGAAAAAAAGCTTTTGTAACTGTGGTAAAATATTTCTAACATTGTGGTTAAGATTGATCGTTGAAATCATCTTTGAAGTGTACAGTTCAATGGCGGTAAATACTTCCACATTGTTGTATGACCATCAGCACCATCCATCTCTAGAACTTTTTCATCTTGCAAAACGAAAACTCTATACCCATAACAATTGTGGTTGTTCCTGCTATTGTTGTTGCTGTTGTTTTCTGTCCTCTAGGAAATCCTGAGCCCTTCAGCATCTCAGTTAGGCTGGAGTCCTGCTGCCAGGCTCCAGGCAGTGTACCACCGCCCCCCACCCCCGACCCCCCATTTCCTTAGCTCCCACTGCTGGTGCCATCCAGGGCCTGAGGGTGAACTCTGCTGGAGTGCTGGGGGTGTCTGGAAGCCCAGTGACTTTGTCTTTTCTGTTGCGAGTTTCCATGTTGCTGAGGCCATGGAGACTCCCAGAGCCGGTCATGCCGATGTCTCCTAGGCCCACTTCCCTGGGCCAGCAGAAGGTTTCAGTGTCTTCACTGGCCATGGAGGGAGGAGGGAAGAGGGAACAGTCTGCTTAGCAGCTCCCTTTCCTGGGTATGATGTATTCAGTGGAAGAGCCAAGATGGTGAAGGTTCCTTTTGCCTTGACATAGAGAAATCCCCCTTCTGCTTGTGTCTATGACTTGGGCACAAGCTTCCAGACACCTAGAACTGAGCCACACACCCCTGAACCCTAAACAGTGGGTTTTAAGCTCCAGCATGTGCTCCATTTCTCTGTTTTAGATCATCACAGAAGCTGCATCTGCAGCTCAGATCCGGCCCACTGAGGACCTCTTCTTAGCCCCAAGCCCATGGTGCTCTGTCTGTGATCAGGTGACCTTACTCGGGAGCAGACGTCTCCCTGGCCTTCTTGGTACCTTTTCCAGCCACACGTGCCTGAAACATTCCAGAGCTCACTGGCTCTGCTAGCTGTGCCTTCCTGCTTGGCCTCCCACTGCTTCTCCAGATGTGGGAAGGACCTGAAGACAGCCCCACACCATCTTCTGCTCCCTTCCAGGACCCGGGCTGTGGGTAAGGCCATCTGAAGTTGGCCTGGAACTTTGAGTTCTGGACGCAGCCTCCTTGGCCTCCCTCTTTGGACTCCAGGACTCTATCCAATCTGAGTTTGCTGTGGGCTGCCCCCAGCCCAGAAGTCTGGGACCACTTACAGGCCCAGGAGAGGATTTCTCCAGTGTTCTGCGAAGGCCAAAAGAGAGGGTGGGTGAGGAAGGGTAGGGAGAGGGGACTGAAGTGCCTCATTCAGTAGTTTAGTGGTGATGACCGATACGCTTTTCTGAATAAACTTTGGTTTGTCTGATCTGAGTGTGTGTGTCTTCTCTTCTGCCCATTCTGTGCCAGGTCCCCGAACCTCCCTCCATCATCACATTTTGCCACACTTGTCTGCCTCCTTTCTGCTTTCCTGGCCTCCCCTTCTTTCTGGGAGGGAAAGAAAAATGAGGTCATAGGTTTCCAGTTAAGGCAGGACACAGGAATCAGAGGAATAAAACAGTCTATGTCTGTCCCTGATTGAGGCTGGAGGGAATTCCAGAAGCTCCTGCCCTGGCTCTCAATGGGCCCTCTGTTTGGGAAGCTCCACTGCCTGATGGACAGGCACGGAATGACTATGGTGACGGAGCCAGAGGACCCTGTTCTGGTGCAAACACATCATTTTATAGAAGGGGGAAATGAACTCCAGGTGGAGTGGCAACTTGCCTAACATCACAGAGCTGACTGGGGCCACAGCGAGGTCTCCTAGAGCCCAGGCTCTGGGCGTTTCCTGCAGGCCACTATGCCTGGTCTGGTGTTGCCTCCTGGACACACCCAGTCTGGTCCCCAGCCTCTGCCTTCCAGCCACAGCCTGCCGACTGAGGTGCCCTGGAAAGGGCTGGAGGCTAGTTAACAGACTTCCTTGTTGGCACCTTCCTCCTGTGCCCTGGGCTTGAAGTCTGTTGCCTGGACATAGAGTTCTATTGGCAGAACCACCTAGAACAGCTCCAGGCAGAGATTGGATACTGTGTGTGCTTCCACACGCACTCTCTTCCGAAGCACCCACCTCAATATGCAGCACAATCTGACTCTCTCTGATTCTCTCTCTCTTTCCCCCTCCTCTCCATGGTTTGGATTTCCAAGTGGAGGAAAATGCTACCAGTTGCCCAGGATCTTCCTTTTCTCCCCTCTTCCCTCTGTGTCTATTCATGAACATCACGAAAATAAAAAGTGGCCTGTATGCAAAGGCAGGTAAGTCCCTGCTCTACTTTAGCTTGGTGGAGCATTTGCAGTTGAAAATGTGCTTTTACTTGCATTACCTTACTTGATCTTGTCACCAGTCTAGAGGTTGGCACTGCCTGTTCAATAGAAGCAATAGAGTCCCAGAGAGAAGGGCCTTATCTATGGCCACTGCTGCTGCTGCTGCTGCTAAGTCGCTTCAGTCATGTCCAACTCTGTGCAACCCCACAGACGGCAGCCCACCAGGCTCCTCCGTCCATGGGATTTTCCAGGCAAAGTTACTGGAGTTGGTTGCCATTGCCTTCTCCGATCTATAGCCACACAGCTGGCAAATGGCAAGACTGAGCCTGGAAGGTAGATGCTGTTTTGCCACCCTCTTCAGGCAGCCAGTTGCTAAGCCCCGTGGGCCTCTGGCAGGCTCTGAGGTGGAGGGGGAGTTTGGTTTTTGCTTGTGGAGAACAGGTGTGCGGGAACGGCCTAATCTGCTATTTCCTGTTTAATGCCAGGGGCACTTTTAAATAAGACATTGCTCCTTGGAAACTTAATTGAGCCTGTTTGGGTCTGGGGAATCTGAGGGATCTGTTCATTTCTATTATTTTTCCAACTTTTCTAGGGATAGGGAGTGGGATGGCCAGTGGTGAGGAAGAATTAAGAATTTCTTTCCAAAAATAAAAATAAAAAATTTCTTTCCAGACATGAAAGAGCAGGGATATGAGAGAAAACTCTTGTTAGCAGTATTTGTATTTTTATTGTTTTTGTTTGTTACAATTGCTATTTGTAGAATAAAATAATAATACATACCTGTTTTTTTTAAGTATACAAAGTAAATGAAGTCATTCGATCATCCTAATCTCATATCTGAGAGATAAGCTACTGTTCACTATCAAACCTTCTTCTTTAATTTTTATAACTAATCAAACATATGGATGCTTACTCACGCACGCACACACACACACACACATTTAGACTCTTCCACAGCTTGCTTTAAAAATTAAACAATAAAAAAGTTCTAACCCTTTCTACACATTCTATAAATATAGTAATATAGCTCTGTGCATGTGCTAAGTCGCTTCGGTCATGTCTGACTCTTTCTGACCCCATGGACTGTATCCCACCAGGCTCCTCTGTCCATGGGATTCTCCAGGCAAGAACACAGGAGTGGCTTGCCCTGCCCTCCTTCAGGGGATCTTCCCGACCCAGGGATTGAACCTGTGTCTCTTACAACTCCATTGGCAGCCGGGTTCTTTACCACTAGTGCTGCCTGAGAAGCCCTAGCCCTTTTAAAATGTCTATATAAATAGTCAGAAACTGCAAGAATTTTGGGGGCTTTCAGGATCCTTTGTAACATTCTAATATTGGCTATTGCTTCTCAGCTTTTTGTCTAAGATCAAGTGTAGCATCTAATTTGGCTAACTCTGTTACCGCCTAGGCTGCTTTCCATGGATATCATAGCAAAAACTGGTCCTTTTGTTTTTTTTCAAACTGATGAAAAATTAGAAACTTGGGAGGGACGTGACTTGCCCAGCTCTGTGTTCCTTTGCCCAGAGTGCCAAGATTAGCAAGGAGGGGAGAGAGCAGAGGGGTGGCTGTATTCCACTTCACGGCCAGACTTGGGGAGGGGAGCACCAGGGACTAGGGTGAGTAGGGGCAGCTGAAGAGAGCCGAGCGGGGCTCACCCTCTCTGGAGCCTACATGGCAAAGGGGAGGTGTGCTGGGGAGGTGGCCAGAACCTCAGGGGAGCACTCTGGCAACAGCCCGCAGGACGGTGTGGGCCTCCACACCAACCTCATCCGCCTGTGGAAATTCCAGTAAACCCTTTTGCCCTCCCTGTTCCATGACCCCAGTTCTTTTTGAACTGGGGGCTATTTGGGATCTTGTAGGCACCAAGGCTGTAATTTCCTTCCCCAGCACTGCGGTGAGGGCCAGCTCCCAGAGGCAGTCCCTCTGCCCCTTGATGCCAGCATGGTGGGGCAGAGGGGAGGGATGGGTGTGCAGGCTGTTCTTGCTGCCATCTCCAGGAGTCCAGAAGGGGGTTCTCTGATGTCCCAGGTAGAGCACTTCTGAGAAAGATGAGAAGGGGAAAGAAAGTGAACTAACTTTACCAAGTGTTTGCAATGAGCCAAGAACGGGCTGGAGAAGGGATAGGCTTCCCACTCCAGTATTCTTGGGCAGCCCTTGCGACTCAGCTGGTAAAGAATCTGCATGCAATGTGGGTGTCCTGGGTTCAATCCCTGGGTTGGGAAGATCCCTGGAGAAGGGAAAGGCTACCCACTCCAGTATTCTGACCTGGAAAATTCCATGGAATAGTCCATGGGGTCACAAAGAGTCGGACAGGTCTGAGGGCCTTTCACTTTCACTTTTCAAGAACATGTTGGATGCCTCATGTAACATGCTTACCATTCTCACCAGTCCGTGTGGTATTAAAAGCTCCCATTTAACAGACATGGAGACAAGCTCAGAAGGGTAAACTGATTTCCCCAAGGCACTTGACTAAGTAACAGTAACAAGATGCAAACTCAGATCTAAGCTACCATGCTCTGCTGTTTCAGAGGATTTCCCAGCAGACTGTTTCTCCTGGCCATCCAAAGACTTCACCCAGAGCAGCATTAGCTTTTGTAATAGTTCTACCTTAAGCTAAGGCAGGAAGGAAAGCTATATTATTACAGACCTGAATTATCTCAGCTTCTCTCTTCCTGCTTTAAAATGAAGTTGGATAATGGCCTTCAGGTTTGATCAGCTCACTGGGCTGAGGTCACTCTCCTAAGGCCCTGGAGACAGTCCTGTCTGCCAGACAGATGTCAGAATCATTTGTAAAATTGCTCCTCCACCCAGCCCTTCTCCCTCTCAAAACCTTGTGCCATAGGTCTGATCATCTGACCTGACCCTGAACTTTTAGATACTGAACTCCATCTTTTACAATCTTGCCCTGTATTCTGGGTTGGAATTCACAATCTCACCAGCCATAGATTGAATCCTCTACCTGTTTTTTCCTGTGTCCAGATTTAAGTTTTCTTGAAAAGATGGCACTGAAGTATTAAAAAATTATTGCTACTTTGTTGAAGGTCAGGACTGCCTCTTTCCTATGGAATCTGAGATCCTTTTTGCTCTCCTTTTAATTCCTTTTGGCAGTCTCCTGGCTGAGCCTCTGTGCTGCAAGCAGTTCTGACTCCTCAGCCTGAAAGGATTCACTGTTTTCATCTTGTTTTCTGGGGTTCCAGTCCATCTGGAGAGACAAACTGACCATGAGTTTTCAGGTGTCAGTAGTGGGACATCCACAGACATTCTCCTCGTTACGTGTCTGCAGGATCTTCGATGACTGCATTCAAGTCAAAATTAGCCCAGGAGCATGGGGTGTTTCCAGCGACAGTTACTTGCTTGACTTTCCTAGCCATTGTGTACCTGGGCATTTCACAACATTTCCTCACATCCAGGTAACCTCTGTTGTATTTTTCAGCTTGTTTCTATCTCCTCCCAGCCATCCCTAGGAATTAGTGAACTTGCTGAGTTTGTTTTTCCTTTTAATTTAAACTGATGCACTCCATCAGTGATCTTAAGATAGTGGGCCAGAAGACTGAGGTGATGGGGTCTTTTTTTGTAGTGACTGTGATAGTGATAATAAAAATGATGATATTGTTACTGATAATGGCATTAATAGTAATAAAGATGACACATGTCCCAATCACTTGTGTTCACAGTTAGCAAAGACATTTTTACATTATTTATATCATCTTCATACGAAAAGATAGCATAGATAATAACCACATTTTGTAGATGAGGCTCAGAGAGGTAAAGTGGTTGCCTATATGTATATCTATATATGGCTTCCCAGGTGGTGCTAGTGGTAAAGATCCCACCTGCCACTGTGGAAGACAGAAGAGATGCGAGTTTGATCCCTGGGTGGGAAAGATCCCCTGAAGAAGGGCATGGCAACCCACTCCAGTATTCTTACCTGGAGAATTCCATGGACAGAGGATCTTGGCAGGCTACAATCCATGTAGTCACAAAAGCGTGGGACATGACATAAGTGACTTAGCACACGCACACACACACGTGTGTATATATATATATATACGCACACACATATGCACACAG